AGTAAAGGAATCCATCTGGACTTTCTCATTTACATTGATCCCTATGCTGTCCAATTCCATAATTTATACACAGGTTCAACTTCATCCTCTATTGAAGTATATTTTTACTGGGGTGATATTTCATGAGTAAGACACACCGTAACTGTATTTATGGCTTCCTCCAGTCATTCATTATCAGTACAAGGAAGCCTGCCATACATCACGTGACCTCCTGCTGGTCCTTAGAAGGGTGACTCCGCATTTCTTTGTCATACCCTTTACAAGGTGGCATAATGGTCACTACCTATCAAAATATCTATTGGCCCCACAGAATTTATTATTTACACCAGAAGGTGCCAAATTTACCTTACTTGAAAGCCTTTCCCGTAGCATTAAACCAAGCCCTATTGTAGAATTTTTCTCTGGAGCCTATCCACAATTACGGCATTAATACTTTTTCTCATTGCCCAGCCCGACAGTTACATAAACAGTGTCGTATGACTGGGCCTTCTTATTCGAGAGAAAGCCAGATAACTTGAGTATAGCAGGATCTCCCATTTGTACCTTCATCTCATTAAGGCAATTACGTTTTATGAAGGTACGTTGTGATCCCGATCCGTAATGCTGTTACAGTTTTGGATTTACACCGTTTATCATTAATCACTACATCCAACACAGGTAAAGCTACCTCAGCTAGGCCATCATTACCGACATTAGCTGCAATCTTTACGTTGGCTACTGTTGTGTCCGGGTTATTATCACCATCAGTACTATTGTTACCATTATTACGATTAGATCCGCCCTTACACTAGCTATGTGGTGTTCTTCCCTTGTTACACTGATAACAATGGTGCAAGTTAGCACGGCAATCCCTTACATTATGATTTCCTAGACACCTGATACATCTAACAAGCTCTTCCAATCTTTCCACTTTAACATCCCATGAATTATAGGCATTAAAAGTTCTTAGAGAAATGAGTACCGTTGCAGAAGATACAATCTCTCCTTCTTTGCCCGACCTCTTATCAACTGGGCTACCCTTATTGTGGTACTTCCTCCTCTTGCTTTGATGTGGAGAACCACTATTACTGCCCCTGTCACTTGATATGTGCCTAAAGTAACCCCGTTTAGTAGGGGACTTATGATTATTGATATTGGGGTAAAGTTTCCTTTTGTGGAACTAGACAGGTGCACTGGGGTCTGTAGACGTGGTATTTCCCAGAGGTAATGGGTTGGCTGGTCTGCAGTTGGACAATTAGCTCCTGCAGGCCCACCTTATTTCTTCCAACCTGAAGTAACCCTTGTGATATCTGTTAGATAGCTACTCTACTGTCTTGTGGTTCAATTTATTCTGAATCAAGGCACTCAAAAACCACTCTGCTCCCTCCAGATCATATTTTTTACTCAAGGTCTTAAGAGTGCTTTCTAGTTTGATCCTAAATTGCTGTAAGCTGTTGCGGTTGTGATCTGGAGTCTTTCAAACTAGCCCCAAAATTTGCTACTAGATCCAGCCTACTTTGCCCCCAGTTACCGTAAGTGACCTCCAACAAGTCAACTGCCTCACTATTGGGGTCATCTACATTTGGGAATGCTTGTATGAGAACATTTCGCATCTCCCCTTAATTTTCCCTTTAAATAGGCATAATTTGGTAACACTTGCAAGATCACTCCTATCATGTACGACTGCTTTAAAGATAGACCAAAACTCCTCCCAGTTTTCTCCGGAATTAAACACAGGCATGCATAATTCTGGGAGTTTTGGTAGACACCTCTGATTTTCCTTACTAGGTTGACCAACAACATTGTCTACACCCTTTACCTTCTCTAAAGCCTTAGTTTTACAGGACCCCAATGTTGTCCTCCACTTTCATAATATTGATCCAGCAGCCGCTCCCCTTTCAGCCCTCATCTGCACAATTCACCAGAAGATCGCTCTCACAGTCCTTATACCACAATTTTTTATGACTCATATCTACTTTCTAAGGCATCTAGGTGTAGCTTTAATTCATCAGGGTTTACCGTTTCTTGTCTTTATCAACTCCAAACTTTTTGGGATGATTTAGTAACATGACCCTTCCCAGCTTGTAGTTTAAAGCTTTCTTTGCTTTGGCATCCATGGACTTGCCAGCCGCACTAACTTCCTCAGACCCAGCCATGGTTAGGGAATTAATAATCACCAATTATACGACTTAAGTAGACACTTTGTGTGAGTAATTCCTGCACTTGTATAAATCCTAACCACCCATGTGCTAGTAATTAATTGGGCTAATTATCATCCACCACACGACCGATTAAATTTGTGTACCCTAATACCCACTTCTTCAATCAGTCACTTAATTATTAAGTAATTAATTCAATTAATTTTTCACTGATTGCATCTGGTTCAAAGGACCAGCGGGCAGATATGGAAAATTTTATAGGAGTGATTACTTGTACATACCTCAACATTACATGCATATGAGTAATCTCCTTGGGAGACAACAACGATATTGTTTACCATAGTCACCCATGTAGATATGTGAGAAAACTTAACCACCTCTGGTCACTGCAGGTGGCCCCTCGACCCTCACAATCTTATCCATATCTATCCGAGACCAGTATAAATTGGGTAGCACCCTCAAGTGCGGCGCTACTAATTAATTGTGGACTGTATAGATTATATTAGTTTAACTGAATGAAGGGGGGGGGGGGGGTAGGTTACACATGGATATACCCATCAAGGAAAAAACACTTGTACATAATCCCACCACTTACCAGATATTCTCTGGTGGTCACTTGATGTGGCTGGATCACCCATAACCTATCCAATTAAAACATACCTAACTGGCCAGTATCAGTCTGCTATAACTAGAAAGGTTACTTAAGTGTGGGTGATTGATGCTCCTTATTTCCTCCATTCACCATCTCTTCGATATCCTACTACACCGACACGGTTCTTATTCCAGCAGGACGAGGTATCCGTTGGTTTGTCCCAGTTTAGAAGTCGTGATTCCATGAACTTCACTTTCCTCATGACGGGAACAACGTGGTCTAGTGTGTTCACTCGGAGCAAGGCGACCTATTTCACCTCATGCATTCTCTTAACTTAGCGTTATTATCATTAATTACATTAGTCTTAATTGTGTTTAATATCTACAGAATCTATCTCCTTTTTTACAACTTATCACATCACTGTTCCATCTTATTTTATTATAAACTAACCATAACTTGTCTTCAATAATTCTACCTCACTTTAAAAAATACTCAATTGTCCAATTTTATTCTAAATCCCTATTACTGCCCAATTTTACTTTAAACTATATTGATCAAACTTATTGAAGGAGGGGTTTTATGTTTGCATTTAAAAAATGTAGTTGTAAAGCACCCTTTCTGAATGGACAGTGATGGAGTAAAGTGATGTGAAAGTTTTTTTATTTTCGGGCCACCCTGCTTTGGTGGGAATCCCGGCCGTGTTTATAATCTAAAAATAAAATATTTTCAACTACAACTTTATATATACTGTCTCCTCTTACTAGCATATTATAACCAAGTCATTGCCATTTTTATTTTTATCATTTTTTTTATTATTCTTTTGCTACCTTTAATTTTTGTATTTTATCCTGTCAATTTAAATCTAATTATACTCTAATTCTTTGTAAACAACTTATATAAGACCTTAGTGCAATTACAAATGAGAGTCTTGTTCCTTTATTATTTTAAATTATTAGATTAAATCACAGTTTTACTCTAGCTCATTCTACTCAATACATAGTCAATACCAAATTCACTATACTTTGACCATAGTGCAATTACTAGTGAGAGACTGGTGCTATTTGTAATTTGTATTTTTATATTATTAGACTAAACCTAGTTGTACTATAGCTCTTTCCTAGCTCAATACATAGTCAATACCAAAATCACTATATTAGACCATAGTGCAATTACTAGTGAGAGACTGGTGCTATTTTTAATTTTTTTTATATTATTAGTTAAATTCAGCTGTACCATAGCTCATTCTAACTCAATACATAGTCAATACCAAATTCACTATATTAGACCATAGTGCAATTACTAGTGAGAGACTATGCTATTTTTAATTTGTATTTTTATATTATTAGATTAAACCTATTGTACTATAGCTCATTCTAGCTCAAAACATAGACTCCACAAAAGTCAATTTTCA